TGTGGAGTCTCCTTCTCTGGAGGTCTCCAAAACCCACCTGGATGCCGCCCTGTGCCACATGCTCCAGGTGTCCCTGCTGGAGCAGGAGGTTGGACTAGATGATCTCCAGAGGTCCCTTCCAACCTTGAACATTCTGCGATTCTGAGGGCGGCCGCCACGGTGGCCTCGCACGTTCMATCCCTTTGCAAACGCTCTTCCTCCTCCTTCATAGAACCATAGATTCACAGGACCATAGATTCATACAGTCACAGAATCATAAAATCCTTCAGRTTGGAAGGGACCTCCAGGGGTCATCCAGTCCAACCCCCTGCACACACAGGGTAACCCAGAGCACGGGGCACAGGCTGCATCCAAGCGAGTTTGGAAGCTCTCCAGAGAAGGAGACTCCGCAGCCTCTCTGGGCAGCCTGTTCCAGGGCTCGGGCACCATTGCTGTTGATTTTTTCCTTAAGTTCCTGCTTTTTTCTTAAGTTGCTTCCTCTTGGTCCCGCGCGGGCAGGCGGCGAAACCCTCGTTCCCCAACCCGCGGCGGCGGCTGCGCCTGCGCGACCTGGCCGAGCGCGTCATCGACGCCTCGCAGAACGAGCAGGAGCTCAACAAGCTGCTCAACGAAGCGCTGCTGGAGCGCGAGTCCCTGCAGGCGTGAGTGCTCCCCTCCTTGCCCGGCGCATCCATCCATCCATCCCTCCGTCCATCCATCCCTCCGTCCATCCGTCTGTCCATCCATCCATCTATCCATTCCTCCATCTATCCATCCATCCCTCCATCCATCCATCCCTCCATCCATCCTTCTGTCCGTCCATCCATCCATCCCTCCATCTATCCATCCCTCCATCCATCCATCCCTTCATCCATCCATCTATCCGTCCATTCATCCCTCCATCTATCCGTCCATTCATCCCTCCATCCATCCGTCTATCCATCCATCCATCCATCCATCCATCCCTCCATCCATCTATCCATCCATCCACCCCTCCGTCCATCCATCTGTCCATCCATCCATCTATCCGTCCATCCATCCATCCATCCATCCATCCATCCATCCCTCCATCCATCCATCCATCCATCCATCCTTCCATCCCTCCATCTATCCATCCATCCACCCCTCCGTCCATCCGTCTGTCCATCCATCCATCTATCTGTCCATCCATCCCTTCGTCCATCCATCTGTCCATCCATCCATCTATCCGTCCATCCATCCATCCATCCATCCATCCATCCATCCATCCATCCATCCCTCCCTCTGTCCATCCATCCCTCCGTCCCTCCGTCCATCCATCTGTCCATCCATCCATCTATCCATCCATCCCTCCGCCTCCGTCCATCCTTCCATCCATCCCTCCTCCATCGCTCCGTCCATCCATCCATCCATCCATCCATCCATCCCTCTGTCCATCCATCCCTCCGTCCATCCATCTGTCCATCCATCCATCTATCCGTCCATCCATCCATCCATCCTTCCCTCCATCCATCCCTCCGTCCATCCTTCCATCCTTCCATCCCTCCGTTCCTCCATCCCTCCATCCCTTCCTCCATCCCTCCGTCCGTCCATCCATCCATCCATCCATCCATCCATCCATCCCTCCGTCCCTCCGTCCCTCCCTCCGTCCCCGCGGCCGGCGGGTGCTGACGGAGCGGGCGGCAGCTTGAAGGGCAAGAGCACCTTCCGCCTCTCCATGCGCTTCATGGACCCCGAGATGGAGACGCGCTACTCGGTGGAGAAGGAGAAGCAGAGCGGGGCGGCCTTCAGCTGCTCCTGCGTCGTCCTCTTCTTCACGGCCCTGGTGGAGATCTGCATCGACCCCTGGTAGGGCGGGCAGGGCGAGGGGCCGCGCCGTGCCCCGTGGGGCCTTGGAGCACGTCCCCCTTCCCCGTGCGCTCTCTGCAGGCTGGTGGCCAACTACGTGACCTTCGTGGTGGGCGAGATCCTGCTGCTCATCCTGACCGTCTGCTCSCTGGCCGCCGTTTTCCCCAGGGTAGGAGGCCACCGGGCTACATCCCGGCTGGCACCGTGCACATCCCCTGGCTCCGTGGTGGAGATGGCAGGCGCTGTCCCCATGGCCTCAGGAGGACGCTGTGGTCTTCGGGGTGGCTGGAGCGTCCACCTGCCTGGATTCAGTCCGTATCCTACCCGGATRAACGTTCACTCTCCTCTCCCCGTAGGTCTTTCCCAAGAAGCTCGTGGCCTTTTCCACGTGGATCGACCGGACCCGCTGGGCRCGCAACACCTGGGCCATGGCGGCCATCGTCATCGTGACCATGGCTGACATCGTGGACATGGTGAGACACGGAGGGGCCTCCACCCTCGGCCCGCGCCGAGGGCCACGGGGCACCTCCTGGGGTCCCCCCACACATCCTGGTGCCCGATGCCCATGGGGAGACCCCTGCCCATGCCCGGCTCCATGCATGGCCTGGCTTGGGGTGCCCCCACCTCGTCCCCCCCAGCTCAGCTGCCGGCAGGACTACGTGGGGCTCGGCAACGGCACGGCGCYGCGGGCCGGCGGCTGCGGCGAGCAGCCCAACTACTACAGCTACATCGCCCTGCTGGCCCTGGTGGCCACCATCATGCTGGTGCAGGTCAGCCACATGGTCAAGCTGACCCTCATGGTGCTCATCACGGCGGCGGCCGGCGCCGTCAACATCTGCGTCTGGGGGCACCTCTTCGACCAGTACGACCGGCGGCGGGGCCAGCACAGCGCGTAAGGGGCCGGGGCGGCCGCGCGTGACGGGGCCGGGCGCCACGCAGAGCACGCGGCCCACGCGGCCCTCGCCATGCAGGGCCACGCTGCTGCCCTCCAAGTACTCCATGACGGCCATGATCTTCGTGGTGATGCTCAGCTTCTACTACTTCTCCCGCCACGTGAGTGCCGCTCCGCGTCGGCATCGTCCCCGTGCGGTGGGGCCTCTCCGTGGCGGGGCCGCACGGGACGCTYCCGCTGCGCCCCGGCACCCACAGGATCACGGAGTGTTCAAGGTTGGAAGGGACCTCTAGAGATCATCTAGTCCAACCTTCCTGCTCCAGCAGGGACACCCAGAGCACATGGCACAGGGTGGCATCCAGGCGGGTTTTGGAGACCTCCAGAGAAGGAGACTCCACAACCTCCCTGGGCAGCCTGTGCCAGGGCTCTGTCACCCTCACAGTGAAGAAGTTCCTCCTCACCTGGAGATGGAACTGCCTGAGGAACCCCTGTCCCTCCTGCCCGCAGGTGGAGAAGCTGGCCAGGACCCTCTTCCTCTGGAAGATCGACGTCCACGACCAGAAGGAGCGGGTCTAYGAGATGAGGCGCTGGAACGAGGCTCTGGTCACCAACATGCTGCCCGAGCACGTGGCCCGGCACTTCCTGGGCTCCAAGAAGCGGGACGAGGTGAGGGGAGCGGGCGGGAGCGGACACTGGAACCCAGGGAGATGCGGCCTGGTCCCACAAGCTGGGGGCGGCTCTGGTGTCCCTCAGCGTCATGGTAGAACTTGGTGATTTGGCCTCAGTTTTGGTGAATGACCTCCAGATCTGGCCAGATCTGTAGGATTTATCTAGGGGTCTAAGTAGACGTCGCTGGTTGGAGGAAGGTGACAGGAGTGTCCCCCCAGGAGCTGTACAGCCAGTCCTAYGACGAGATCGGCGTCATGTTCGCCTCCCTCCCCAACTTCGCCGACTTCTACACGGAGGAGAGCATCAACAACGGGGGCATCGAGTGCCTGCGCTTCCTCAACGAGATCATCTCCGACTTCGACGCGGTGAGTCAGGCTGGAGCCGCGGGGCTGCGGCGGGCCAGCAGCTTCCGCAGGGTCCATCTGGGCATCTCCTCCCACCTCGTCCTGCGTGTCCCATCCTCCGTCCTGGGCCAGGGGCACCCGCTGCTCCAACCCTACGGTCCCCGGCCCTGAGGGTTGGTCTCCGTGGCCCAGCTCCTGGACGAGCCCCAGTTCAGGTGCATCACCAAGATCAAAACCATCGGCAGCACCTACATGGCCGCCTCCGGAGTGACGCCCGACGCCAGCGCCAACGGCTACAGCACCAAGGTAGGGAGGTCCTGAGGGGCTGACACGGACGAGGAGGGAGGACGCGGCTGAGCCCACGGCCCTTGCAGAAGGAGCCCCTCTCGGATAAGGAGCGCTGGCAGCACCTAGCCGACCTGGCCGACTTTGCCTTAGCCATGAAGGTGACGCTGATGAACATCAACTACCAGTCCTTCAACAACTTCATGCTCCGCATAGGCAAGTCTGCCCATGGGGAAGGTTGGGAGGTCTCGGGGGAGCCTGGACCTTCCTCTGCATCCCCGTCCTTCCTTCCCTGGTCTTCCTCCAAGCAGAGGGACATGTGGAAGCAGATTAAAGACTTGGTTGCACCTGTAGACATCAAGGCTGGGTGACGTCTCTGCCCCAACCCGTCATGGGCAGGGGGTAATGGACCCTGCTGGGGCATCCTGTCCATGCCGGGGGGTGACATCCAGCCGTCCCCACGCAGGCATGAACAAGGGCGCCGTGCTGGCGGGGGTGATCGGCGCCCGCAAGCCGCACTACGACATCTGGGGCAACACGGTCAACGTGGCCAGCAGGATGGAGTCCACCGGCGTCATGGGGAACATACAGGTGGGGACAAACCCTGCGCCAGGAGTCAAGGCGGGGCTGGGTTGGGATGCCCTCCTTTCCGGTGGCCTCCGCTTGTCCCCGCAGGTGGTGGAGGAGACCCACCTCATCCTGAAGGAGTACGGCTTCCGCTTCGTGCGCCGCGGGGCCATCTACGTGAAGGGCAAAGGGGAGCTGCTCACCTTCTTCCTCAAGGGCCGCGAGAAGCAGGGCTCCTTCCTCAACGGCTCCTCGGTCACGCTGCCCCACCAGGTGGTGGACAGCTCGTGAGGGCGCCCGCCTTGGAAACCCAACCCAAGAACCGCSCCGCTCTCCCCGCCGCCGTCCTTCCCACCCCACGTTCCCGGGAAGGGCCTTGGCTCCGCTTGGTGTCCGCGCGGGAAGGGGGTCGGTCGCCCCCGGGCGCCGCGGAGCGCTGGGCGCCGGGCCGCGGCGGCGCGGGGCCCACGGAGGCCGGGAGCCGTAGGGCAACGCGGGAGCGGTCGGGGTTCGCTGTTAGTTCGCGCAAAGTCCGTCCTCGCCACCCGCCGGGAGAGCGTCYGCTTCGACGGCGAGGAGGAGGAGGAGGCGAAAACAATATCGTGTATTTCAGATATAGAAATATATATATATTATATATAAAAGAGCAGAGTGATAGTATATTTTACCCGTCATGGTGGGGTCTCTGGCACTACGGTCTCCTGCTGTCACTTCACTGCCCCTTGCTGGAAGGGAGGCCAAGGCCCACAGAATCCCAGAATGGTTGAGGTTGGAAGGGACCTCTGGAGATCATCTAGTCCAACCTYC